TATATATATATATATATATATATATATATATATATATATATATATATATATATATATATATATATATATATATATCGGGTGGCGCAAAAAAAAGTTAACCTGTTTGATTTGTTTTAACTTAAAAGCTAAAAGAGCTATTACATGTAAACTACGTGCATTGTATTCAGTATTGTCTAACTTAAATTTTGATATACGCCCTGTGCATTTTCGTGCAATATTGACCGAGAGAGTTGCGTTTAAACTTGAGTAAACATTTTTGAAAGTGTCGAGAATTAGCCAAAAACGGCCTATCAAATATTTAATACAGCAATAACCTGTGCTTAGATGCTATAGTCAGAATAAAGTACACGTTCGTTGTCAGAGACCTGCGCAACGCCGCCGGTATAACCTCACGAGTATTATTTAGCCTACCCTTGCATATTCTAAACATATCGAAACTCTTTGGACCTTCGTTAAACGAGGCGTATTTATACAAAAACAGTTGACGTTTCTTCCTTGGAACATTAGAATTTGATTCCCCAGGGTCATTGAATATTTAGAATAAACCTTTTAAAATCAAAATCGCTTCATAATTTAATTTTCATGCATTCCCAAAGACCTTAAACAAAAATAAAGGAGCACATCCATCCAATAAACATTTTTAATTTAAATTTCACTTCATTCAAACGAATATTCACGATAAAATGGTAACAGTTATCAAATTAGTTTAACAGGCTGTTTTTAGCTGATTCTCGACACTTCCAAAAATGTTTATTCAAGCTCTCTCGGTCAATATTGCACGAAATTGCACAGGGCGTATATCAAAATTTAAGTTAAACAATATTGAATGCAATGCACGTAGTTTAGGTGTAATAGCTCTTTTAGTTTTTAAGTTAAAATAAATCAAACAGGTTAATATATTATATATTAAGGTGACAATGTTCTAGAGTGTGTATGATATAATTTCCATACCCAGCGTAAGCAGAAAGATAAAGTCTGCCGCGGCTGGGTCTTGAACCCGCGACCTTCGAATTACTAGATCGACGCTCTAGCAACTGAGCTACACGGTCAGACGAATGTAAGACGATCTAGTAATTCGAAGGTCGCGAGTTCAAGACCCAGCCGCGGCAGACTTTATCTTTTACATATTACGGAGTGTAAAATTACACAAAATTATATATGTATATATATATATATATATATATATATATATATATATATATATATATATATATATATATATATATATATATATATATATATATATATATATATATATATATATACATTGTAGCGCCCTTCAAGGAAAGCTCAAACAACGGCAACTGTGGAGGCTCATCAGCACAGTGCACCGATGATGAGCTTCCACATACCAAGAATATATATACTATAGAAGACAGTGTGGTGGATGTTGGACACTACAGAACTTTATATACTACACATTATGCCTAAGCCTTTATGCGCACGCTCACTGCATTTCACAGTTTAAAAACGGCGATAAAGCACATAAGTAAAGACATTGTAGCGCCCTTCAAGGAAAGCTCAAACAACGGCAACTGTGGACAGCTGTTTCGCCCCTTTTTGGGGCTCATCAGCACAGTGCACCGATGATGAGCTTCCACATACCAAGAATATATATACTATAGAAGACAGTGTGGTGGATGTGGGACACTACAGAACTTTGTATACTACACATTATGCCTAAGCCTTTATGCGCACGCTCACTGCATTTCACAGTTTAAAAATGGCGATAAAGCACATAAGTAAAGACATTGT